TGTAGGACACCTAATTCCTGCTGCCTTAAGCCTGCAATCCAATACAGAAAGGGTAAAAGAAAGAAACAACTATGGTAAGCATGAAATCAAACTTTTATTTCTCTTAGAACTCAAACTATGATGCACAAAACTTTGCCTCGCTAGCAAAAATTAAAACTCAATTCCTTTCAATTCATAAACTTCAAATAAGAGGGTTATTAACAATACCCCCAATGCACAGGGCATGAAGTGGATAGACATATTCACCTTCTATCTTCAATTATTCTTCATTCTCTTATTATTTTGACAGTCTAATTTAGTAATTGTACTTTGATTTTAAAAGCATTTTTGCAGTAGAAGAAAAGATGAAACAATAACAAATGCAAACCTCATAAGGTTCCTCATTTCTTTCTCTGCCCATGTTTTAACCATTTTCCTGGGATTATGTTTGCAGTATCCATTTCTAAACCGGAAGTCTCCTTGCACATATCTATCTCTATCCCTGAAATCAATCAGATCATAGAATTCAGTTAATAAAATAAAACAACTTTGAATCAAGAAACTTCATTTCCAGTTGTGCTCTGTGTGTGTATCTAAGGAATATATTAAAAAGAACATCTATCTAGAAAGTTTCAGTTATCCTTAGCCCAGAGTTTTCAATAATTTTTTTAACAATATATTATACACAGATAAACAGAGGGAGAAGAAGGAAATACATATTATTAAATACCTCATGCCTCGGTAAGTGAATAAACCCCCAATTTAATTAAAAAAAAAAATAGAAGAGGAAAATCAGGAAATAGATAATAATATCCAGCATATGTGCAAAACTTGGTCACAATAAACAAAAACAATAAGACAAGTATGCTTGAATACATGTAACAGTTTTTTCTTAATTTATGGTTGCCTAAGCATTTCTTTCTCAATATTTCAGCCTTCAATACAATTTACAGTAACATAATAAACTGGAACAGGCTATAAACATCAGTCGTACTTACTTAAATACTAGAACAGATGTTTTGTATATTTTAATTGCTAGTTCTTGACCATCAGATTTAGTTGCATGATAAACGTTTGCCTGTTAGAAAACAACAAAGTAAGAAACAAACATATAATCAACTATCCAAACCATGTCATTCATATAACCAAAACCATAAGATTAGGACAAAAACAAGAACAGAAATGAAAGCTCCAGGTGTATCACATACTTCCTTTCCGGTTGAAATGCATCCATTGATATCATGAAAGACACCTCTGTTCAGCATCTTGAATAAAACCATGCGCGTTCTAGGATCAATTGCCTGGAAGAAAATTTAGAGTTACTTGCATGATAATTGTAAAGAGGAAATCAACAAAAGAACAAGGCCTCTGTCTGAACAGGAACAGTATCTTTTCTTTAAGAAGAACAAAACTGTATCAAAAAGAGAAGAAATTTGGGTACAGAATTTCATGAAATCACCATTACTCACCTGCTCAACAGTTGCTCGGTCTGCTTTCTCAGTAGTTTTAGTCTTCCCAATGGCCATATCTCGAACACTTCCACGAATTGCCGTGGTAACAGAGTTAGACATGCCAACATTCATCCTCCCTTCCCACTCCTGCACCACCAAGTACATATCTTAAAACTAGAGGAACCAAACAAACATACTACTCCACAGAACCACTAAAAACGCCAATAACCCCACAACCAACAATTCAAACTAATCCACATCAAAGAAACCCCGGAGAGTCAATTGAACATAACTCAGAAGTCAAGGACTTGCAACACACATCTAAAATAAGTTCCATCTTTACTAGATAAAATAAAAGAGTAAATTACACTGACAATTCACAACTCCTAAGCTTTTGTCACACCCCTGCCTTTTCTACCGCTACACTAACCTCCTTAATTGTTTGAAAAACATTACACTAACCTTCCTTAAACATTACACAAACCTCCCTTAATTATTGAAAAAAAAAATTACACTGTGTCCCCTATAAGGGAGGTTGTTGAAAATATTAAAAAAGCAATGGGTTATGTACAATTCCTCGAAAGCTCATGCGTTATTAGTGTAATTTACTCATAAAAGGGAAAAAAAAAAAGAAAAAAAAAAAAAGACCCCTTCAATGTTTCCAGTGAATAATCATCAACAACACACATTAACAAGCTCGAAAACAGCTACAATGAGGGAATGACGACCAACCTCTAAATCCACTATAATTATCACAAACTAAAATAAATGAAATTAGCATTGTTTTTTTTTGCTCATTACATGTATACCCCTTCAGAGACAATTGAGACACTTTTGGATACTAAAGGGAGATTCCAACCTTAGTTTGCCACATAGGGGAAAACTAGGACCAACCCCTCCAACAAAACTCAACCCTAGTCTGTAAATTAGCATGGTCTATTAACAGGCATAAAAAAAAAATCCAAACTTTAATGAAAAAACGAATAAAAAACCCGACCCTTCTGATTTTTAGAGTGAACAAGGAGATACCCACTTCGTTATTCAGAATTATACACGAAAGGAAGCAAAAGGGCATGCGAGAAAAACCTCCAAGGGCGAAGCTCGAATGTGATGGGAGAACTTTTGGTTGCGGTTGGAGAGAGGTTGGAGAGTGGAGGAATGGTGGTGGTGGCCGCCGTGAGCGTTGGGGCGCCACGAACTGAGGGAGAAGGAGCCCTCCTCTTCCTCCTTGGAATCCAAATAGTCCAACGCATCACCGATTTCAGAATCCGAAGAACTCAAAACTTCTTCATCTTCTTCTTCTTCTTCGTCGTCATCCTCGTCTTGTTGTGCGTGATGTTGGAGCATGTTTTCGTCGTCTTCGTTTTCCATTGGTGGGTGTGTGACGTTGGTAACGCAGCTAACGGCTTCGTCGGTGCCCGGAGCTGCCATTTGGGGTTTGGAACAAAAATTAACCTATAGGACTACTAGATGTGTTAGGACATGGATGCTTTTATTTTTATATAATAATTATAATAAAAAGATTTCTATATGTATATATTATATTATGACTAGTATTTTATTACATGTATTTTACAAAATAAATATTTACTATATAATTCAAAAATTATAATAATTTATATATAAATAAATACTATAATTAAATATATAAATTATATTTAAAATTAATATAAGTAAATATTTTTAAATATATTTATTATATTTAAATTCAAGATAAATAAATATATTATTTTTAATTATTTCAATTTAATTAAAATTTTATTTATCAAGCTCTTATATAATAAAAATTTATGTTATAAATGTTTAAAACTCTTTATATTTAATATATAGAAATTGATTAAAATTTACAATAAATAATTTATATCTTAGATTTATATTAAATAATTTAAATTGTGATATAATAGTATTTTAATTATTATTACATTCTTAAAAAAACAATTTAGAGAAAATTAGTAAAAGAGAGTAAATTGAAAATAATAAGCAGTTAAATTAATTAAGTAATGGGCGTCTTCGTTTAATTTTTTTTATTAAAAAGTATATTTCAATAAAATAAAACAGGCTTTTTAAATGTATTTGTTTAAATTGTTGGTTTTTTAAGTAACTTTTATCTGCCTTTTAGTTTTCTTTTTAAATTACTTTTTATAAGAATCGATTTTTTTAATTTTAAATAAAATGTCCTAATATACTTGTAAATATAAAAGGCACCAAATATCGGCAAGGAGTGTAATTGACATACAAATACAATGTTTAGTGTGACTTTTACCTAGATAACATACATAATGAATTATATATCGGATCACAGTGTTAAAAAAAAAAAAAAAAAAAAAAAAAAAAGCATTTTACATTCTTAGTCTATATAATTTCTTCTCACAATTTAAAATGATTGGAAAAAAAAATTTGTTAGTATGAGAGATAGCATTGTGAAATGAACCATTTTAATGTGATAATAATAACTAAAAGAAATGAGGTCCGTTTCTCTCCAATCTCCACATGTAATTAATATGAAGTACATTTTTTTATTTTAAAAATAAAAAATAAGAGATAATGAAGATTTATTAATAGAAAATGAAAATGTACAATTATTTTGAAGCTTAATTAGTGACGTGATTTTTTTTATATGTAATTAAATATAATAGTGGTGTGCTTTATAATACTAGTTAAGAGATTAAAAAAAAAGTCCAAAAATTGTAGTGAAAAAAAAAATGGATGTGTCTAAAAAGATAAATATCATTTATTTTGTGTCAACTATAGACTGCATATATCTTTTATTGAAAATATTTTTTTTTTGTGGAGTTTACATTAGCATCCAAAACTCCGAATGGGTTAGTAAAATTGTTTTATTTTGGTTCACTACAAAATATAATTTGTAATAGTATCCTTAACCCTATAATATAACCATTTCGGGTTCTTATTCCATCAAGTAGGTAAATTTTTCCTTTCAATGCTTCCCCTAAATATCTGAAGATCTCAAAATGCTTTCTCTCTTCAAAGTGTATTTATAGAGGCTTTCCTGAGTCCTAAGAATGTAGTATCATTCCCTAATTGTACTTGTTTTCTCTCTGCAGCTGACTTAATGTGTGCAAATAGGTAGAGAAAATTGTGAACAATATTATTTTGTGTCCCTTAACTTATTATTACATAATAATGATATGATATCATATCAGTGAAGGAGAAAAACCTCCAACAAAGAATATATTGTATTGAACAATTATTTGTTTTAAATACATAAAATAAACCTCTCAAATTAGCTTGCACTTAAACTAATTTGTGAAAGAAAACTGTTAGAAAGTGGAATTCAACCAAACAAAGAGAGTGAGCAAATGCAAACACTCCAACAAAAGACCTTTCTATTAGGATCCCTGAAAGAAAGGGAGGAAGCAGCTCAAGTTTCCATTGCTTCCTTAGTCTCTTCGTTGTGTTCCTTGGTTTCTTCTTCTCCTTCTTCTGCCTTTGGTGGCTCTTCTTCTTCTGCTGGTTCAGCTGGCTCAGCTGGCTCAGGAGGTGGTGTGACATTCTTCTTGTTTGCAGCAGCTTGGAGCACATGGTGGTAGTTCCCTTTCTCCATGAAGAGCTGTTGGAAGTGGTGCCTGCAGTAGAGGACACCATCCAGTGCAGCATAGGAGGAATGTGTGAGGTGGCAACCTGCATGAGCACACCTAAAGCAATTCTTGTGATAGCATTCCCCTTCCAGTGACATCTATTTTCACAAAGCAAAACAAAACTTTTGTTAGTAGTTCAGTTCAATCAAAATTCTAATCCAGGTGGTGAGAATGAGAAATCAGCTTATGAACATACTACAATCATACAATGTGTCTAATGTAACGGTTTTATTAAAAATCATGTTTAATCCTATTTATTGGTTCAAACGTTTTGAATTTTCTAAAGTCGGACTATGAATGACCATTATTGTGGTGGTAATAGTTACTAGATGCATTCTTGATAGTAGAATGCTTATAGATGACAAGTTGTTGGTTCCTAAACTTCACATTCATATGCCATCTAGGGTGAGTTTGGGAGTTTGAAAGAATGAAGAATTGTAGCTCTTCAAATTGCAATGGCTGGAGGTAATACGGATTCAGTTTATTCTGCCTTTGTTTCTAATATGTGTTTTATTTGGTTCAAGAAAATACTTGAATATCTAGTTTTTCTATCATCTAAGATAGTAATGGAAACATAATATCTTATTGCTGATGATATTACAAACCTTTTCCAGAGGATAGACAGTTTTTGAACAGACTGAGCATTTGTCTAGAGTTCCACTGAACATGGATGAGAGTCTGCTGGGGGCCTTATTCTGTATATGAAGATTATTATTGTTACTGACATGTTAGAAAGATAACACTAGAATATTTAAATGAATGAAAATATATAGCTCCTTTATGCCAATAAGCTTCTCAATAATAATAATGATAACAATGATGATGTTTCAAGGAAAACATCCCTCAAGTTATAAGGATGCTCCAAATGGCAAGAAATGTGTTTAGGTTGGATAGTGAACATACCATCTCATTTTGTTTATCAGCAGACTTTACTGTGCAGTCATGAAATCAAAATAACATGTTAGCCAAATCAAAAGAAAGTGACAGGTGCATATGAGTTTGTATTTAATGAGATTGTGGCTGAACAGAAGATGATTTCGTCTTACCTTGCTGAAAGTTTTTGCTGAAATTGCCAGATTCCTTGAAAAGCTGTTCAAAGTGTGGCTTGCAATAGAGGATACCATCCATTGAAGAGTAGGTGCCCATCTGACCAACATAAAATTACACCATTGGCAAAAAACATAGCACAAGTTTAAACAACCCAAATATTTACTTTTGGTGAATCAAATCATGTCAAAGTACAATCTTAGCCCAATAATGTCATTACCAATTTTAAATTCTGGCACTAAGAATCCAAGATTAAAATTAGTAATTTATGGAATTCAATAATGTGCTAGATGACAAAGCATATACTTCATTTCATGTATGAGTTATGCAAGTAATTGCATGTATAAGACATTATTTATAACATACATGATGTCTACATAGTTAATTTGTCATCAAATTGCTTTTAAAGAGAATTTCAATTTATTCACTAATTAATATTAACAAAAATATATCATTAACACAATTCTTATAATGTTCATGAATAAACTTACGGTTGCATCCAAGATATTTTCAACCAAGAGGCTAATTCTTTTCCTAATGTATAGAATACTAAAGTGAAGTTTGTCTCTCTTAACAAAATGTTCCCTATACACGTCATCAAGTATGGAATCTCTAATGATATATTCAAAGAATTCAGTTATTTATCACTCTTCATCATCACCAATAAACTCCATCATCTCCCATAAGTTGCTAAGGTATAAAATCTATATACATACAAACCATTGAATGCCATATTCAACCATAACAACTAAGAATGAAACAGAATATTTATAGAAACAAAAGAACAAAATAACAAGCACAAAGGGTGTGGAAGAACCATACAGTGAGGTATCCCTTGCAGTGACTGCATCTGAAGCAGTTCTTGTGGTAAGGTATACCTTCAAGAGTTAACAAGTCAACCACATAAACAGTCTTATCACAAGCCTTGCATTTATCAAGAGTTCCTGTGAATGACATTTTGTTTTTGCTTCCTCAAGAATCAAGGCTCAGGAATTTTCTGGCTTGTGTTTATGTTTTTCCTTCAATCCAGGATCTGAGGATTAAAGAGAATTCAACAAGAGAGAACAGCACTCATTACCTTATACCTCAGACAAATAGGGATTGAATCAAGTCTTTGACATGTCTATGCAAAGTAACTTAGATTATAACGGATTTGATTGCTATGGTAAATGATTGACAAGTGATTAGAGACCTCAAAATGTTAAGCAAAGGATGGGAATTTTTTGCTGAAATTCGTGGATATAAATTTGTTGTGTCGAGTGAAAACAGGTTAATCTCTGACCATTTCAACAATATTTGAACAAAAACTCGTTTCAACTTTTTTTTTTCTTGTTCATTTACTATTATGGAATGCAAGCTTTTTATAACTAAATGGCCAAAAAAAGAAGGATTTCATAATTAAGTTGCTGAAGTAGTTATATCCATAATGCACAATCCAAAATGTTTTTTAAATCCATAAAAAGAAAATATATTGTTAGAATTTGATAAATTTAGAGAACTTTGATTTCATAATAATTTTTTTCCCTTTTCAACTAGTGGTTACAGAATAGGGTAGTTTCTTTTCTTTTCATAAATCTCACCCAATTAGTCATAAATAATCATGGTATATCTTTGACACTGTTTTTTTTTTTTTTTCTCCCAATTATGATTAAGAATTGCTAAACTAAAAGGTTTTATAAATTTATAATGTTTAAAGATAAATAAAATCTAAAATCTCTGATCTAATTCCTCTGCACTGCTACCCTTTGTGGAGCAATAATATATGGCTCCCACTTCATATTGTTAAGCTGAAAGCTGTTTATACGGTAAATAAAAAAAAATTGTTTATCACTATTTTCATATTTAAATATATTTTTAATTTATAAATACAAGCTAAATTTATTTTTCATAATTCAAATTTAAAATTGACTTTATTTAATTTTGTAATTTTAAAAAAAACTTATCGATTCTTTGTCAAACAAAAAAGGTTACGACGATCTCATAGTTCAATCAAGAAAATATATAAGTTTAAATATATTTTAATTTCTTAAATATAAGATAATTTTTTATCATTAAATTAAATTTTTGTTTTTATATTTTAAAAAAGTTTATTTCAATCTCTTTGTTCAAGTGTCGAATTTGCAAAACAAAAATTAATTATTATCAAATTTGTCACGCAAAATATACTTGTTAATTTTTTTAATGAAAATATTATATTTAGTTAATATTACACATTTAATTTGTCTTTATCATGATGGTATTATTTAGATAAATTTTTAAAAAAAATACATGAACTAATACGAACGGTAAAAATAAAATTGATTATTTAACGCAATAAAAAAATCATATATTTAGGATACTAATTTATATAAAGTTTTTAAATTAATTATTTGGCTAGTTTAAAAATTTATTTAACTAACATAGTTGGTTAGAAGAGAAGTTAGTTCATTAATATGCTGTAGTGTTATTAAAAAAATTATTAAATAGAGATCGATTTAGAGATTTATTAGTATCTTAGTCTCTAAATCTGCCTCTACTAATTATTCAAAAATTTATTTACCATTTTAGACTGTTTGTTTTGTGTCTGATTGAAATGAAACAAATACTATTTTTCATTATTCGTAAACTAACATTTGGTCTCTATTTCAAATATGATTAGAAGCCTGATTTTTTTAGTTGCTAATAAACTATTTTAGAAACTTTTTTTTTTGCTAATATAAATGCAAATAGAGATCAATATATAAGCCCCTAATTTTGTTTATGTCATTTGCGTTATTCTTGTTAGAATAGTGGATTAAGCCTAACTCAACCCTACAAAACCGGCTTGTAAGGTGAGTGTTGCTTTTCACTTATATACTATTCAATTGCCTAATCTCTAGTCGATGTGGGACTTGGGTTTTTCCCAATACACCCTTTTTAATGATCTAGGATTGGCAGGACTTGGGTTTTTCCCAATACACCCCCTCACACCTATGAGGCATGCATCAATGGTGGGTGGCCCATTTTTAAAGTGAATCTAAATGACTTTGATACCATGTTAGAATAGTGGATTAAGCCTAACTCAACCCTACAAAACCGGCTTGTAAGGTGAGGGTTGCTTTCCACTTATATACTATTCAATTGCCTAATCTCTAGTCGATGTGGGACTTGGGTTTTTCCCAATAATTCTTCAATAATTAACTAGTTAAACAGGATGCTGTAAAAAAAACTAGTTAGACAGTTAGGTTATAATATGCTAAATATTTTTAATTTAACCAATAATATACTAAATATTTTCTTTTAAAAAATACTAGTTAAACAATTATGTTTTTAATTTTATTTTTTTAGTTTTCAGTCAATTTTTTAACTTTGAACTAACCTAATAATTGGTAAGTTTTTGTCAAACTCAATCAAAATATTCCCTTCTCTTAATGATTTTTTTTAGTTCAGATAAATAGTAACAAGTGCCCTATAATATCTATTATAACATAATCAATTATCTTATGAATATTTTTTTTCTATTTGGCTTGAACCTAAATACTATTAATCAATATATCTATCAACTACATGCATTTTCAAAGGATTGATCGTGAAATATATTTTCAAAAGTCACTATAATTAAGGTGGAAATAATGATAATGAAATTTGATCAGTCATTTGAAGATATATAATTAAAGGAAAATAAATCTGTAAAAGTTCACCATAATCCTCCCCGAGAATCAACACACTACTTGGAAGTCATTGTATACAATGTTTTATCAAATATTTGAACAAAATGTAAATCCGACATGGCATGCATAGAGAGTTCGTTGGATATGACAATCTTAAGTTGATCAATTGATCACTTTCTCCTAAAAACATGAATGAGAAAGAAATTGTAATTAAACCTAATTAAAATAGAAAGGGGGACAAAAAGTCAAAATGTAATAAATGAGATTGCATGGTATATATGTGGTAAGTTCATGGTATAAAAGATAAAAAAATAAAAATGAAAATTGATGGTATATATCCAAATCCAATCCTTTTCATGATATATACATTTTCCTTGTATTAGGGGAGAACTTACAGTTGTCACATTTGTCACCATCATCTTGGAACACGTATGTTCATCCATTCATTAAGTATATATGTTTATTATAAAGTTTCTGTTAAATGTTTAATCCTCATTAGCTAACTATAGATAGTCAACAAATTGTTGTTGCTCACTTTAATCTATTTGAAGAGTCCTGCACTTTCACAATCCATGGACTGAAATTCAAATGTTGATTCCTTGTCTTTTGAATGACATAGCTAGATTATATATATTAAAAAGAAAAATATTCATTTTTACGTATTTTCAGAATTTCTAACAGATGTAATAAAGAAAAATAATGATTAAGTAACAGATAGTAATATTCATTTTAATTTTGGTTACAGTGGATCCTATTATTAACCTATATAAAAACTAGTTTAGAAACATTGGTGGGAAAGCATGATTTTCCACTATATAATATCTTGAATTAATTATTTTTACATGATACTAAAAGGATGAGATTGTTAGACCGTAGACCAAACTATTCAAAACTGATGCATGCAAAATCCATTCAATTTTTTCACTCTCGTACACGTGGCACCATGTCCTGTGTCGGCACATTGGAGAAATGTTACGGTACATGCAACCACTCTCTTTCTCGTTATTCCACTGCACATTCACCGTTGGATGAACCACAACCTAACTAGTCTTTTCTTTCTTCTTCTTTTTGAACTTGACATATACTTTCACTTTCTTTATCATACTTGCAACCATTTTTTTAGTGAATTTGATCTATCATCTTTAAAGAAGAAGAAAAAAAATGTCGATTTTTCTTTCTCTTCGAATCTAATTTTGCACCCTATTAATTCTTTAAATTTTATTAAATACATGCTCAATTTTAAATTTTAATTTTTCAAAGTATTTTATATTTTAATTTTTAATAAATTCTGAACTATTTAAGTAAAAAATAATTTGAGGATTGTAGGTAAAAGAAAATTGACAAGAGCACCATTTTGATTTTATTTTAAAAATAAAGGGGAATCTAAACTATTCAAAATCACACAAAATCTAAAGTAAAATAATAAAATATGGAACTATTTTTTTTTAATGAAAAACACAACATACCTATTCATATCATATTATTTTTTTTAAGTGGAGAGAGTATATTTTAAAAATATATATATAATTATAGTTGTTAATATAAAACTAATAATTAACATATTAGAATCATGATGAAATATAAAATATATAAAATAAAATTTAAGGTTGTTTTAGTCTCAATTGTTTTTAATCTATAATTATAACTATACTTTATCGTTATGCTAGTAGTTTAGATTTTGTGTTATACATTATAAATAAACATTTTTAATATATAATATATGTTGTAATTATAATTTAAAGTAAATAAAAATATTTGAATATGTAATTATATTATAAATTTACTATGAACATCTAATTTGTCAAATGAGATTGGTTTTAATTGTTGAAAATTTATTTTAAACATTATTAAAATTTAATTTAGAGATAAAAATACAGAATAATTATAAATAAATAAAAAACGAACCATAAAAAAATCTTGATTTATGGTGATTGTAGGTAGGAGTTGAATATGACCAACTTGACTGGCTTGTGGTTGATTTCAACAAATATGGATTTTGAATTTAGACTAATTTTGAAGACGAACTCATGTTATATATTAGATCTTTTTAACTTTTTTTTAGTGTCTTATATTCTTTTAAAAACTAATTTTTAACAAATAAAAATAATGTTAAAGAAATATAAAGTAATTATTGATTATTAACTTTGACACATTGTATATAAATCTTATCTATAGACTAAAAATAAATTATCTTAAAAAATATAAGTTTACTTATTTTTAATAATAATGTATGAATTATAAAATTTATGGATTTAATAGGTAATATTTTATATAATATAATATTATATTTATAATTATGTTATTTAATATAAAATATATTATAAAATTACTTAAATTTAAGTTATATTCTTCTTTTATTCTACAATTTACTTATACATAATCACAATATTAATATATTATGTTCACATACATTTTTAATTATAATAAAGTGTGACATAATTAATAAATAATTGTGTCTCTTAGAGCAACTTCAATAGGAGTTGTTTGTCCCATAAAGCAACTCAAGCCTCAATTTCTTGTCATTGAAGGACTCTGACGTGGCAACATGAGTTGCTTGAAGAAGAGAGAGAGTTGTTTCCTCAAATAACCGTTTCTTACCAGATTTGAAGCAGATCTTATTGAACATATTTAGGAACGTTTTAGAAATAATAATGATGAAAATTAATTTTGTATAATGTATATGTATTTACTATTGCTTTATTTTATTTTTAATATCTACTTGTTATTGTATATTTTTTCTCGTAATTTATTTTCTTTCATTGTAGTGCAATTATCTTTTTTAATAAAAATTTAAAATTAGTTTATAGATGATTAGAAAAAAAATTCTAAAAGTTTAATTTCTTAAAATTTCTTACAATTGGAGTAAATTTATGTTTGAGTTACTTAATACTGACATGACACACTGGAGACCACTTTTTTCATTTTTTAATGCATGAAACAACTCAAATGAGTTGCTTCCATTGGAGATGCCCTTAAATATGTATATAAAAACATTATTGGAAGAAGTCAATTTTTTAAATAAGTTTTAGTGTCTCGAGAGTTTAATCTTTTAACTGTTAACAAAGACATACCTTAATTAAAAAAAATTCTATCCTTAATAAATGTGTATAAAAGAGAAGTTACATTTAATACAAGTTTAAATAAATGTCTCGACGCATAAATTTAATATATTATGTTCAATACCAACCCCTAATTATATGGTTTAACATTAATTTTTTTTTTTTTTACATACACTAACTTGCTTTTGTTAATATAAGGTGGGAGGTCATTTACTTACATTAAATGGTTCCAACAAGCTCAACTATGTCTAAAATTACCATAACCGACCGACATTATTGTCCATTGTGTTTGAATAAGAAGTTTAAAATATATATAAAAAAATTAATTACTTCAATTTATTCTTTTATTTTTAAAATACTTTGTTTAAACAAAAAAATTAAATTCATTATATTTTAAATTCTTTGTCCAGATAGAATAATTTAATTTTCATGACATACAAATTTGATTTTGTGTTTCTTGAAATTTCTTCATTTATTTGGAAAAAAAAAACCTCCTATAATTTCCATCATTTTAAAAATTCTTTAAATTCAATATCCAAACAAATTATTTCGATGCATGATATTTTTAGATTCACTTAAAAACCAAATTTCTCATCCAAAACATCCATATTTAATTTCTTTTTCTTTTTAACTTTTCTTTAGTAAAATTTAATATTTTTCTTTTCATCAAAATACAATCACATTCCGGTGTTAAACCTACCATATGTGTACATTAATATATATATATATATATATAGGAAGAATACTTTTATTTCAAGAGCAAGTCTATCTAGATTTACTCTGTTTAATAGCTCATGTTTTATATTAAATTTCAACGATCCAACCATTCAATTTAAAGTTCTTAATGCATAAATCAAATATGCAAATTTTTAAAAAATTTAAAAATTATTTGATACTTCGTTTCATTAATTCGAATCAATGTATAAAATAATTTTATGATTATCCATCAATTTAAATTAATGAAATGAAGTATCAAATAATTTTCAAATTTTCTAAAAATTTGCAGGGTTGATCTATGCATTAATAACTTGAAATTGAACGGTTAGATCGTTGAAATTTGATGTAGAACATGAGTTATTGAACGGATTAAGTCTCTTGGAATAAAAAGATCCCTCCTCATATATATATATGAGGAGGGTTCAAACGACACCAGTGTAACTTTTACTAAGTGTTACACTGCTTAATAACTTTATATTAAATGTGAATTTTGAAAATCCAACAGTTAGATTGAAAGTTCATATCTTTTAGATCATATATGTCAAATTTTGTTAAAATTGAACAACAACTTGAAGATAATCAAAGTGTTCATATTTGACGTCAATTTTGTTTTATGAGAATGAAGTATCAAATCATCTTAAATTAATATAAAATTTGATATATGAGGAGAGTTCACACGACACCGGTGTAACTTTTAGTAAGTGTTACACCGCTCAATAACTTTATATTAAATGTGAATTTTATAAATTCAACCGTTAGATTGAAAATTCATATTAATTTATATGTATATGTCAAATTTTATTAAAATTGAACAACAACTTGAGAGTAATCAAAGTGTTCATATTTTAGTATATTTTGAAATAAATATATTACGTTAATTTTGTTTTATAAGAATGAAATATTAAATCATCTTGATTACTATAAAATTTTGTATATATAATCTAAGAGTAAAGAACTTTCAATCTAACAGTTAGATTTATAAAATTCACATTTAATATAAAATTATTAAACGGTATAACACTTAATAAAAATTACACCGATATCGTTTAAACCCTCTTCTCATTATATATATATTTTGGTAAGGCTTAATATAAGTCTGAACATTGAATTTGAAGCCCTATAAAGCAAGCAATTTGTTTCTATTGAATGTAGGCACAGTGAACGGCTCAAAATGTGGGATGGCCCCAGAAGCATTGTGCTCAGTAAATTGTAAGGTGCAGAATAGTTGAACCCTTTAGAAATGAAGGGTCCACCATATTTGTTGGAACTTTTGTACACTATATATAAGTCATAACATTTCCTCTGTTTTCTGTCTCTCTCACTCTGCTTTTGTGCTCTGTTTCTCAATTCAACATTCCGAGTCAGAGCCAACGGCGATGGCGGCAGAGCTACAAACCAAGCCCGAAACTGCCCTAGTTCCGGCTCCTGTTGTGGCTGAGGTGCCGCCAAACGACGCCGTTGCCGCCGACAAAACTTCTGAAACAGAGGAAGCCAAACCCACTACTCCTGCACCCGAGGGTGAGTTTTTCATTGCCCATCTTTTCATGCTCTCGTCATGATCGTTTTCCGTCCACAAAATTCGTGGGTTTTCGTCAAATTTTGATTTTGAGCGTGAGCTTGATTGAGCAAACTTATTCATATCTTAAAAAATAAAAATAAGATTCTAATATATTAGTTTATACATTAATTAATTCTATTTTATATAAGAACTTATTTATTTATTTATTTATTTATTTCTTTAAGTGTAATCAAAGAAGTTTATTGCAATAGACCCTTAATTGGTCTAACCTTTGTTAATATCAAAATTTGAAAATATTGTTTTGGTGCAACACTTGAAAAGTTTTGATCCTTTGAGAGAGTATTTTTAAGGGTATTCAACTATGCATGGATTGGATTATTTGAATGAAAAGTGATCGTTTACCAACTTCTTCTAATAATCATTTTCACTTTCAGCTGATTTTCCTTGTTTTATCTATGATCATGACCAATTTGGGTTAAACTTTCTCATAAGTTATAATTATATCATGCTGTAGAATTTTTTTTATATTACGTTTCTCATTTTTTTTAATTTATAATATATTAATTCTAATTTATAATAAAAAACTTATTTTATTTATTTTTCATTTTTTTTATAAATATTTAGGAAGAAATTTATTAAACCATACTCATCCCTCTGAACGTACTTTTTGATGACATTTCTTTCAATTATTAGATCTGTATTATTTGGCATGTAGGAGTTTTTTTTTATTATTAATATCTTAATCGGTGCATTAGGCCAAATTTAATATTTAAATTTTATTAATTATAATTATTTATTATAAGAAATGTGAAAAACTAGTTCTATCGTATTTTCTTATCAATAAAAATTACAACGATGGCATATTTGAACTTAAGACCGTATAAATATCTAATAAATATCAAATGTTAAAAGAGACAAATCTCATCTGTGCATGACCTGTATTCTTTGGCTTGCAAAAGTCGGTTTCGTGATTTAGTTAATTCTTATTTTGGCAACATAAGAGATTATCTAGCTAACTGTAATATTTTAGGCATCAAAGTCAAAACTAACTGTATCCATGCTCCTTTATATAGTAAATGATTTGTTATCAGTAAGAACAAGTAGATAGTTAAGATTTTTAAGCATGTTTAAGTGCGTGTTTGGTTTCACGTTTGAAACGTGAAAAATCACGTTTAACGTGAAGTTACAATGTGTAGCTTCACGTTAAACGTGATTTGTAACTTCACGTTAAACGTGAAACCAAACACAGGCTAAGTTTTGAAGTTTTGAATCTGAAAAATATTTTATTAATAGATGTGCCCATTTGGGTGATTTCTATCTTGAAAGATATTAGATTTTTGGTATAGATTACTGGTATAGTCTATGGGAGGCGATCTTATTCTAGTAGGTAAGGCTTTTAACTATACATCGAGAGATAGTTTTGATGCACACAAAGTAAATAAAAAATTGTTTATACAGCAATTTTGTCACATCCAGCCATATTTCATCAAATTTTGTTCTATACATCAATGATGAGTTTCTTTGCTGACCCAATAAATGATCATAAAATGGTTTTCCCCCCATGGTGTGAGGAAAAGTGTTTTCCACTCTGGCAAACGATGCTTTGATTTATTGGCAAAGTTATTCTGAACCTTTTTTTTGGGGCTTTCTAGCTGTGTGTTTTGATTTATGTATAATAAGACACTGTGCATCATGATTTTATGCTTAAATACTTTTCCTTTTGAATGGATTCTTATTTTCCAGGCTGTTGGCAATTACATCACTTAAGTCAGTATCTATTTTTTTGTTTTTGTAGTAAATATTGGTGATTTAATAGTTTTCTATCTGTTTGTCCTTGATTCTGTTGATAATTTACTTTGTTTGATATGTATTATTAAGTTTCATTTGTCAATTAATAAACGTATGTGGGTAGGTCATGCTTGAATTTCACTTTTGAGCAATCACTTTTAGGTGATGATGCTTTAGACTTTAGTTGCACATAGTTGGATGGAGACAGTGGATTCCATAGCACTAATGTAGTCCCCTAAATTCTTTGTAACATAAATGAGATTGATTGGGTCAATTCATTCAATAATCTAAAAATGGAGTCAATTTGGTGAAAATATAATTTAGTATGACATCCACATTTCTCCTTTGGATGTAGTTAGTTCCTTTGCATATCATTTGTTTACTTTACCTATTTTATGTAATTTTTATGGGACAACAGAGACACCAGTTTCTGCAAACAAACAAAGCTCAAGAGCGACCGTTGATACGGGTAAGTTTTGATTGTTAACACTAACAATATTTTATGGTCATTTGAATATTTCATCTTCATTAATAGTACATGCATTTAATATTCGGAACTCCTAATTAATTTCGTAATCACCTGAATTAGTATATTCATTGCAATGCTGTCAGGTATCTACATTGCAAAGATATAGATGAATTTGTAGCTGACATATTTCTGTCTTTTCATTGGTAACATGAATATCTGCTTGCACTACCACAACCTTGTAATCTCTTAACAAAAATCCTGTTTGGAGATGCTGATTCACAAGTCACTTTATCTGGATGGCATGTCTATTCCTAAGCAATTCACTTATGTTTATGTACTTCTTTGGCCTATAGATATCACTCTGGCAGAAGTAGAGAAAGAGAAAAAGTTGTCTTATGTGAAGGCATGGGAAGAAAGTGAAAAGGCCAAAGCAGAGAACAGGCAAGACTTTATGTACTTTAGTTTGCCTTTAGAGGCATAAAAGTTAACTGTGATTTTTTACATCCTCCAATTTTGAAATACAAATTATTTCTCTCTCTTTTTCTCATCACACATCCTTCCCTCCAAGGTATCTTTCTTTAGAAAAGTTGCTAGTTTTAGTACATTGCAAAACCAATTCAGACTAGAAAATAAAACAGCCTATCAAACAAGTATGTGCTTGGATAAGTGTTTACAAAATTATTTTTGATTTTGCATGGATTTGATTTTGAAGTGAAGTGATGTATTTTAGAGTGTTTTTAGTTAAAATGCAAGTTAATAATAACATTCAGTATAATATTTTTTTATCTAATGCAAAAGTTATCGAAAGATAATGTGTTTAGATTGGTAGTGAGGTGAGTTAAACTCATCGTAAATTTTGGAAGCAACAAATAGTTTTCTACCACCAAACCAAACACACTAATCCTTAAACTAAAAATCAATTCTTCAACATAAGATTAAACATGTAAATATTTATCTGAAAATCACATTAACCGGTATTTCAACTTGATTTTGGATGATTCATTGTGAAACCAACCCACACACTAAGTAGTTCACATGCCTCCCATAGTATGTAAGATATTGCAATTTTGTGATTTGTAGGCTATGGTGATGATGATATGCCATTTCATTGATTATGTGACCTCTTACAAATTTCCCATGTATGGTCACCTAAACATTAAAAATTATTTGATCTGTTAACAGAGCTGAAAAGCATTTCTGTGCTGTTGCTGCTTGGGAAAACGGCAAGAAGGCATCGCTTGAGGCTGAGCTGAAAAAAATTCAGGTAATACTTAACCTGTTGTTCAGTATTTATTAACATGTGGTGACATTTTTATATACATGCTACATAATATAACATGGTATATATGGCACTCCCAAGAAAGTGCATTCTTTCTTAATATCAAGCAATATAATACATTTGCTAAGTTAAGTCCATGTTTCCCCACATTAGAAGGGAGAAAGAAATTATTAGCTAGGTGCTATTAAATCACAATCTCTAATTAGTCTATACATGAAATGTAATAAAATATTATTAATTTTTTTTCATAAATTGAAAAACATAAAGGCATGTCATGTAAGGATTGATTGGGACCATGGATACTTGGTGGTCTTGAAATAAGAAGTAACTAGTATCTCCATGACAAGAACTAACATGTATGATATCATAATAAACTTGTTATCATAAGGATCCCTTGTTTTGTCTTTTAAGATAACTAAAAAAGCATAACTAATACACTTGAAGTAGTTTAGGAACTGATTTTTCTGTCACAAATAAAGTGAATGAAGTAGACTCAAATGAAGATAGAAGTGCTTATAGTACTTTTGCTATAGCTTTTAACAACTTATTGTGTGAGCAGGAACAACTGGAGAAAAAGAAGGCAGAATATGCTGAAAAAATGAAAAATAAGATGGCCTTAGTTCACAAGGAAGCGGAGGAGAAGAGGGCAGTGATTGAAGCCAAGCGTAAACAAGAACTTCTGAAGACACAGGAAATGGCTGAAAAATACCGTGCATCAGGAACCACTCCAAAGAAGACCATAGGATGCTTCTGATTGATTTCTTCTTCTTTTTTCTTTCTTTTTGGGTCTGATGTCAAAAAGTAGTTTATAATTGCAATTTTGTCTGTATTTTCTCTGGTCTTGTTCTCAATGTTGTCTATGTGCAAAAAATGGTCCAAAGAAAAAACATAAAGTTTTGTAAATGCCTCTTGTATATCATTATGAAATGTTCAATGTAATGGTGGTTTTTCCCAAGGAACTACTCTAATTATCAAGAATTGAGATTCTCTTTCTTTGCTCTTGTATTCTATGACTAAGTCGCTATTGCTCACTGGCTCATAATACTTTCTACAACATCAAGAATTAAAATAAAAAAAATCTCACACAACATCGAAAATAAAAGGAGTTTAATTTACTATCAAATAAGTTTTGATTATTTTACTATACTATTCTATTCATTAATATAATAATGCAATAATGAAAAGAAAAAAAAAATGGATGCTCACACAATGCATGCTTATTAAAAATTGGAAGAGGGAGAATTGCATTCGTTGAGAAAGTTGCTTAGAATATATTTGGTTAATATGTCCATAATCAATTTTATTGTATCCAAGATCATCATAATCACATTTATTATATGTTTGACTATTAACAAAATCGATATCAAGATATTCATCCAAATTTAGGTTTACTTGCAAACAACTATTAATAATTTTTTTATCAAACAAAATTAATCTTAGAGTTTTATCTGTCAAAATTTATGATCACAATTTAAAATCAAATTTGATAACAAATTTCTAAACAATATTTGATATGAAACTCTAAGTCTGTATATTTTGTCATAAAAACAAGAATTCCACTATTTTTAACTCACATTTACTTGAAATTACTGTAAACTCACGTCGATTCAAAATTAGCAATGTTTGCACTTTTTATTTTAGACCAAAATATCTTCTGCAAAAGACAATTTTACATGAATTGAATAGATTTCTTTAAATATTTAATGCGGTTCTCGAAATAGTAATCGCTGATTAACCTAAGGTTGACAACCTTATGCCAATTGAGGCAGTAATGATAATTGCACTTTGAAAAAGGGAGAACCACACCTTTATATATCTAAGTTTGAAGTGAGAGAATTTGTGCAACCTTTTTCAAGGAGCACGATTGATGTTAGCCAAGAGAGATGAACATACCTACTATTTATAAGAGTACACAATTACACAGTATAATGCATTTCTTGGGTAACAGAGTATCAATGCAATATACATGAAACGTCAGTATAAAGTATTTCAAACAATTAATGCGATTCAGACAAGTGTAGAAATAAAAAAATAAAAAAATAAAAAGAGAGGGATGTTGAGAGAATTTCACATATAACAAAATTATTCAATACGAGTAAGCAGAGTTACTCTTGAGAAAGTTATTTATAAGACATTAATTAGTCTTTCTAGTTTCTACTTAGGAGTGACTGATCTCTTACCTCATAACATTAACTTAGGTTGATGTGATTATGATATTCTGCACTTCATTTAGTTTGAGTCATGATATTTTTCACTTTGATAATTAATTTGGATATTTTGCTCTTTGGTTGGGTGAAAACTGAAAAGTAAAGGGAAGGTCCTGAGGTGTTTGGCTCAGTTGCCCAGGACAGTTATTTAATGATCCATGGGGGTTAGGACCGGGGAGTCTCTATCTCTGGGTGGTGTGGCTAGGGATATTTTCCCAACTTTATTGCTTAGTACGGTTCATATTCTGAGACACCAGTACACTACTTGGCTTTCTAAATTAAAACTGTGTGAAAGTGGATTGGAGTTTCAATATCATAAATAAGGTGCAGGGATAATTAAAGTAGTTTCAATATCATTTTCATATACATCATCAAGGAATTGAACATATGGATATGGTAACATGCTTAAGAAACGTAATTATCTATCAACTATTTTGGACCTTGTTGGTCAATGGTCAGACTTTGAATATATGCAAATAAAAGAACCATGAAGTTCATGGTACATTATCCATTCTCAAGGGGGAAAGTCAAGAATCAAGATCCATCAAAATCTTACAATAACATAATCCTAGGTTAAACGTAAAATAAATGGTTATTAATTATAAATGAGCAAAAAGAAATTAAACATGTTTCTCATACATAGATTGAACTAGATCAAAGTATAGAAAACACCTAGGCAATAATCTAAGCCACACGGATCTGAAAATTTTCTTTCTTTACTTTTAAACATCCCATTATTTACAATTAAATGCTAGTATTCTAATACAGACAAGAGGGGAAGTGAAGAATTTTCAAGGCAGAGGAAATGTCCTCTAAGTGGTGGTAATGTGAATTTCACAGGTTTCACATTCAGATCACACTAGACCTCGCGCTAAGGTATTATGAAGAATCCACTTTAGAATCTTGAGCTATGGATTATATATAACTGCTAATTGTGTGCCGAAGTATCAATGTAAACCCAAAATAACACTGGAAACCGAAATCTGATAAACACATTCAAAACAAAATCGAAGTGTAATTAACATTTACTATATTGCAATAGGACATAACTATAAAAAATCTTCAATGTCACACCTATGCTGATTAATAGCTACCATATATATATATATATATATATAAATATATCCAGCCAATTACCAAGTCATCCCATTCTACTACTCCTTTAATGGCTTAGATAGCAATATTACAAAACACCAAACCAAAAGCTGCATGACACAACATGTTCATCAGACAAACACATTGGACATGCACATGCACTATTCACTGCAAAATTCATGCTAAAGTGGACAAACAAAAGAGTTTTCTTCCAAGAAGCTCATGTCATTGTTTATAGGAAAATCTAACAAGAGCTGCAAGGCAGTGTCTGATGAATCTTCCATGTCATTAGAGCTCGACGAGTCGGATCCTCGAGTCCTCCACTCCAACTCTTCCTTCATAGTGTTTTCAGGTGTGTCTTGTGCATTAGAAGCCAACTCTGCATTTGTTGCAACAGACTCACACTTGTTGGAAGATGATCCTGCAGAGAGAGGACTGTGGCAGGAGCTAGTGACTTTGTTTTCACCTTTGTGGCGAACATTGCGAAATGCTTCTCCAACTTCAGAGTTCCAAATGCGGAGGAAGTAGTCAGAGTCAGTGGTTTTGTTAATATCCGCAAGGGAACTATGATTGGTTAACCTTGAGGACTCGTTCGAGAGCCTGGCCTCGGCTTCGAGCCTAGCACTCTCCCACTGAGCCATGTGGCGCGTGGATACTGATGCAGGTGCCTTGTGGAAAGGGTAAGATGATGAGGCTAATGGCTCGTGGGTTTTGGGGTCAAGCCCCATGCTTTTGAGACGCTTCTTCAAGTGGGTGTTCCATAAGTTCTTTATCTCATTGTCTGTTCTTCCTGGCAACTGAGAGGCTATTGCAGCCCACCTGAAAGTTTGTTCAAAATGTATACTCAAATGTGCATCTCAAATATGAGTTTTAAGTGATTCATGTTCACATAACAAACCAGAAATTTTTAAGTACTATGTTTGGATACAATATATATAATGTTTATACATTGTTGACTAATCAGAAATCATACTAGATATAACTGTATATATAGTTATTATAAAAATCAACAGATTCATCGCATATGACGATTTTTGAATGATTAACAGTATAAAAATCCTTTACACTGTGGTTGCATACTATTCACCCTTATTATGAGGTATTGAATAGGTAATCTTGAGAGGTCTAGAAGGTCTTTCACAGTTGCAAAACGAGTGGATCTTGAAAAAACAGAGAAATTTAGATTTTGAGTGGGGAGTAAGAAGTTCAATAAGCACAGATAAAAATATATTCACAAGTTCACACCATATGTTGTGGCTTGGTTTTATGGAAATGTAGGGAATTCCAATATCATGGATTTGTGTGGCATAAAAGAAAGATGAAATCTGGCGATATGTTTGGTTAAATAAAAAGATTTTTTTGTCTTCGTACTTTTACCGTTCGTTTATTAATATTTGTATAGAAAATATTGAATACAGGATTTACTTTGTGTTTCTTCTTAGTACTTTGTAAGAAAAAATTGAAAAACAGAAATATAAAGCCCAATTAATAGTTGACCTATTTCCTAGGATGCCATGAAGCTGTATGACTAGTTTTTCTTCCTCAAGAGTAAAGGGACCACGCTTGATGTCAGGCCTGAGATAGTTTGTCCACCTAAGTCTGCAACTCTTGCCACAGCGAAGAAGACCTGAAAGTGAAAATTAATCCTATAATCCATGGAAACATGAAGGTCTATATTAAGTTGGAAAACACTCAAAACAGAATAAATGGTCAAGTATTGCTTTTCTTGTTTGAAATAGGTTAGAAGGAAATAAAAGAATAAAAACTTTGTGAAGAGAAGTGTCCAAAGTGGAGGATCCAATGACTAGTTTATCCACAATAAAAATCTAATGAAACAAAAATGAAGCTTAAGTTTTGGTTAGGATTAGGATACAAACAGAAAAGAAGAGAGCAAAACAAGATGATAGCATAGCATCGTAAAAGGGTAATGTAAACATAATATATATAATGCTCCAAGTACAACATTAAATTTGTCTTCTACTTTAAATTACATTCCTTTGTATATTCCCGCCTTTTAACTTTTAAGAACTTGAAAAAGAATGGGGCAAAGGTAAAAAGGAGTCAAGAGGTATAGCTTCACTTCACTTGTTCAATAGTTGTTAAAAATTGGAACGTCATGTGTTAGTGTTATCATAGCAGCATATATACCATGAATGAGAATATAGCCAAAGACAAGCAACTTTCTTACTCTTCAAAACTCTATGCTGTTGTGAACTTCTAAGAGCTCAGTTTCAGTGGTTAAAATATGCCATAATCATTAAAAGGTACACACAAATCATCCAAGTCACTTAGTCATAATACATTTAACACTCATAATAAAAAAGGCCTTTAAATAAATCTCCATGCTCCAAATCATTAGAGAGACAGGTGGAAACTAAAGTGATTGTTGGAGTTTAGTTTAATCAATTTCAACTAAAACAATTACTAAAAAAGTACCATATATTAAAGCTCTATTATAGGATCAAAACCTGCCATCCTGGGAAGAGAACGCCAGCTTCCATGACCACCATTTTTCTTGATAAAACTAGCAAGAATTTCATCCTCTTCAGCTGTCCAAGGTCCTTTCTTCAAACCCTTCTTGTCACAACATGGTGTTCTTCCCATTCTTTCTCCAACTCTCAACAACAACACACACCACAGCACATTAACAAAGCAAATATCGCAAACAACTTAAGAGTACCCTTTAAAGCTTAAAGTCCACACATGAAGAGAGCACTTGAAGCACTCAAAGCAATGAGAGTAGAAATAAATAGTGAAGGAGTTGGAGATGTCAAAAAGTTGGTATGATCATTATGTGAGGGGATTTGAGGTGGCATTGCTATTGGATGGGGGCTTGCTTGCAAGTATGATCAGCGAGTTTGAAGCTGAAGTATGCAATAAATGCTTGTGCTGTAGCATTGAGAAGTTGCATCATCATTGAGACAAGAACTTGCACAAACAATGAAAAGAGGAGGGTTATAATGAGGGTGTGCGTTTTGCATATTTTGGTCTTCATTTTGCACAGAAGTGGGGTGAGAGAGAAGCAGGTTGCAGTGAAGGTGATGGTGACAGCATTAAATGTGAAGAGAGTGAAAGGAAAAAAATGGAATGCATTGATGGCGGATTCTCTTCCGGAAAAGTCAGTGCAGGATTAAAAACCAGCAGAGACAGTTAAAGGGAAGGACATGAACATTAATGGAGGGTCCAATTAATGGCATGTAAGGTACGAACACACACCAGGAAATGAATATGAATAATGAATGCTACTACAAGACATGGTGTTTCTCTTTCTTCTTTATGGCAAACAAGACCAAGAGCAACAACTTAGTATTCTTGTTTTTCTTACTTACAAATACATATCACATGACATGTAATTATTTGTATTATTCTTATTATTTATAATCTTTTCCTTGATTCAAAGTTTATTCATTAAAGCATAAGGAATGTGTATTTAGATTAACGGTAAGTTTGCTTACACTTCAAATATGTCTTGTATCAATTTTGTTGCATCTAGTGTATCAGAATCACATCTGTCATATGTTTAATTATTATAGATTTCAAAATGTGCAAATTTACATTCATTTAAAAATAACTATTAGTAGATTTTTTGTTAAACAAATTAATTTTAGAGTTTTATCAATCCAAATTTATAATTATATAATCAAAATTAATTTTGATAACAAGTCTCAAACAACACTCAATATGATAGTCAAATTCATATTACTTTTAATTCATTTTCACTCAAAATCAATTATTTAAATTCACATTGATTTCAAATTAATTATATCAACACATATAAAAACACATACTAACTTTCAATTCTATACAATCAATTTCAAGACAATGTTGATGCTCAAAACAAAAAAATAACAAATAGTTATTTCAATTTTTTTATTCTGATTTTAGAGTTCATAATTGATTTAAGGAAGTATCTAAGCACACTAGTAAGATGTTTAGTCACCCATTTTAGAGGTGGTTTTCCTCTTTGAAATCCAAATTATTAAGATATAAATAAGACCTCATATTATTAGAACAAAATAATAAATAAAAGCTTATAAAATATACATATATTTCATATTTTGAGTAATCATTAAAAATAAAAATATGATAATATAAATTTAAAATAAGTAATATTTTATTATTATAAAATGTATGTGTCAAATAATATCTTACGTTAATATATATATATATATATAT